ACACTGTTAGAAGTAGATCTATCACACATGTGTGAATATTAACACGTCACACACTTGAAATGCGTGAATATTAATGCGTCACACATATTTAATGCATAATTTTTCAAACGTCATGCATTATCTTCTCAACATGCGCGTGTGAAATGCATTAGAGAATGTGTGGAAATCATACACTTCAATGTGTGGATTTTATCAAACATCTAATACTGTTTGAAATAGTCAAATATCGTAATATTCACACATGTGTAATATTGCTATACGTTTGAATATAACACACTTTGGGAAAATTCACACACTGAGTCGAGTAACGCACTTGCTAGTTACACACTGATCAGTCGCATACTACAATTACAACATCGTGCGAAATCAGTGCTCGTTGTAGATATTCTACCGTGTGTTATCCCATCCGTTTTGTGCTTCGGACGATCGTGAGTAAAGTGCCTTCAAGTCTAGACTGTGTCCTATTGCTAACATCTCGATCGGAAACCTCGTTCTTCCTGTTTATTTCTGAGGGCGAGTTTCACAAACGCCGGTTAACTGCTAACCGAAGGTTAATTGATTCTCTGTCTCTTCTTAGATAATAAGATAGAAAGAAGATAGGGAGTCGACTGAACTCTCGTTAACAGTTAACCGACGTTTGTGAAACTGGCCCTGATTCATGCTCTTTCCGCTAACCTCCCGTTAACCCTAACCTATAAACCTCTCACTTGGAAGAGCTTTATCCCATACAGCACAGAAAGTTAAAATAATGTTGCTGAAACGTTGTAATATGTTGAATGTTGAAGTATAAATATCTTTTCTACGTTGAATCTAGATTAATGTTTATACATTCATTCTTTATATTGCTGCAACATTAAAACAATCTTTAACAAATTATTATTTTTTGACACTCAAATAGATACTTAAAAATATATAATTATGATATATATATATGTATATAATATTTTTGCACCGGTTAGAAATTTTCTGAGCTAAGATTGGATTATTATTTTAGTGGAATAATTCAATTTCAGCACTTCCAACAGTTGTAAAAAATATTCTGCTAAACGCGACCAATGGTAACTCAATATATTGCTGGCATTTTATTTCCATACGTTGTTTGAGCATACTGGCTTTCTGGGTGGTAGATGTTTAAAGTGTGACTTACTTTCTGATACCAGAAACATTCATCAAATATATCAAGTTTTATACCAGTACTGCCAGAAAACTTGAAATTATGCAGCAATCTTTTGGATCGCATTAATGAGTTAGTACGTATATGTGCTACTCATTTAATGAGTTTAACTAATGGCAAACCCACTTCAGATGACTATACAAAGTTAAGTATGGCCATATGCTCAGAATATCCCATTCTGAAAGATGTGGGTTCCCCAACATATTATGTAAGTAGTAAACTATTTCTATTCCTTTTTAGATTATAAAAATAGTTTTTTTGTTTACAAGTACATTCAAGTTTCTCATATAAGTTTTAAAATTCTTTCAGGGATCATTTAAAAAAATGTTGAGCAATTGCATCAAAAACAGGCGAGCATTTTTAAAAAGAAAGCTTCTATCAGATGGATCTCGTGCAACCAAGGTGCAAAGGACAACTGTACAGATGTGTACTCTGTCTTCTTCATCTGTGGAATCACCCAGGTATAATGTATTTTATTATACATGTAGTTTAAAAGATCTTCTCTTACAGCAAAACTATATATTTTCATAATCTTGTGAAATTATAATATAATACATTATACCTGAGTGATGTAATGTTTACAGTACATCTGATATGGCTGAGGATACAGACTTACATGTACTGATGTCAAAATTAAAAGAAACCAAACCCTGTGCATCAAATTTGCAACACATGAAAATGTTGATGTCAAAAACAAAGAAAATGCGCAGAGATTTGATTATGAATATGGAGACTCATGCTCGGTGCTTTAGCATTTTGGAGCAATTCCCTTATTTGAAGTCCTCTGAATTAGTATGTGAAAACTGAGAGTACATGTAGCCTTTTCAGCACATTTCATTCGCTTAAAGCAAGTAATAGGATGTTTCCTTTCGGCTTAACTTTTATTTTATTTCAGCTGCTACATGATTTTGATCTACTTGGGATCTGGAAAAGCAATGCTGTCCAGAATTTTGATATTCTGTTAGAGAAACTTAGAAAATTTTTCAAGGTGGAGAATGCAACTACCGAATCAGAAAAACTTTCCTTATTAATGGAAGCTGAGAAAGCACTGATTCCTAACAAGGCTTTGAGCTCATGCAAAGTTATTGCCACACGTAAGGTATGTAAAATTTGTTATGTTGTACATTGAATAAAATCTAAGATTAATTTCGAACCCTAAGTATGTGGTAACATTGCTATATCTTTGTTTCAGATTTACGAGTCATATGACATCCTCAACACTGAGGAAAACGAATCTCCACGCCTAGTCATTTTCTTAGATGGCTCCAGAGTGTCTCAAGCATTTATTGTTGCAGACAAAGAAGTGGAATTTGTTATAGACAATCCAACTGTTATTTCATGTATTCATTCTCTCATAGGCATGTACTATGTGTGTGACATAATGTATCCTAAGCCGTACTCTAATTTTTTCCATTTGATTGATTTTGAAGTTATAGGTATTCCTAAACCTAAAATTCTTCCAACTAAATTTTGCACTTATTAAGAAACTTAACTCAATTTAAATCAGTTCTGCTTTTTTATTTTCAAATATCTGACACTTTTAAGTATAATTTTCTATATTGTCATTGCAACGTATTATGTATTTCAAAATATTATCAAATATCTAACAATAAGATTTAATTTCTTTGATTTTCTAAAAAACATGATTTTGACGTGATATATCATATGGACTGCGGTCCACTTGATGTTATAGATGCTTCGAAGCGCTATTGTTTCCTTTTAATAAAGAAAGGAAAAGAACGCTTTGGCGCATTTATAGCGTCAAATGGACCGCAGCCATAATATCTAAAATTTAACTTGTTTTGTTTTGTTTTATAACTGACTTTTAACAAATTCTAAGACAGTTTACATTTTATAAAGTACTTTATAGCACTTCGTGTATTGCAATATAAAATATATTAAATGTAAATGATTATTTATCTTACTAATAACTTTAATAAACACTTATAATGTTATCATACATTTTATTATGTACTTTACTCGGAATTCAAGTATGTTACTTTTATAAACATATTCACTGTTAGAAGCAGTGTGAATATTACACACTTTATCGCATGGAGGTGTATAACTTATTTAGGTGTGTGATTTTCAAGGTGCCTATAAATGTGTAAAAAAGATTGCACTACATTGCAAATCCAAGTGTTTTACTATTACACAAATTTGTGTAATTTGGTGAAGGTATTTTTATTCTTGCTGCTTAAAATCGCATCATATAATGTAATTTATAGTTGTTTTAAACGGCATGAAACGTGTAAAAAGTGCTTTCACCAAATTACATATGTGTATAATAGTAAAACACTTGGATTTGCAATGTAGTGCAATCTTTTTTACACATTTATAGGCACCTTGAAAATCACACACCTAAATAAGTTATACACCTCCATTTGTGTGGAAAGTCACGCACGCCAATAAAATCAAACATCCATTCGTGCATGAAAAAGTCACACACTTACAGACGTCTTGAAACGGCGGACACACATCACATGCGATAAAGTGTGTAATATTCACACACTGCTTCTAACAGTGTAAGCTCCTTGGTTTTCGAGTAAACTCTATTGGAAAACAACCAGTGATATCACACAACATATTATTAATTTGAAACACAATTGCATCTGGCAATGTACACTGAGAACGGATACTTATAAGAAAATGGAGCATTCTTTTCACAACACCCAGATATACAAGATGAAGTGCATCAAGACGAAATTGAGAAACCATGCCAATTCCAATATCTTCTAATATTGAGTTACCGACATGGTGGTAAGGATTTTCTCTATTACGGAAAGATTCACCTGTACGACGTGGACAATTTTGCTCAAAAAAACACATTCTATGTCTATAATATGTACCTTTCACAGTACATTTTTCACATGCATAGTAACCACCATGCGCAACACATTGCTTCACAAACGAGCGAGCTTCAGCATCAAGCACAAAATTGTTAATTTTAAATTGATATATAGTACCATCATTCCATTCAAAACCGTTTTCTTGTAAATTCACTACTTCAGTGACAAACTCTT